CCCCCCCTGCCTACTTCGTATATAAGCAGCACCTTTCACATCCTATCACCACAGCTACTGCTCTCCGCAGTCCAAGCCATTCAACTGCTCTGAAGATGGAGGCGCTACGTTCCTCCGAAACGTCTGCCAAAACGAAGAATACGCGGTGCCTAAACCCAGAAGACGACTTTCTTCAAGAATATACTTATTTAAAATTCCATACAGAATATGCTGCAAGAGATTGAGGAAAACTGAAACCCACTTCTAGCAGGCCATTCATTCGTTCATTCATTCATTTATTTTTCGTTCCATGGATCCACAATACAAGTGAGATATAGGACATGTCCATACAGTGATTATTCTTAAAATTAATAGAGCAAGAGCTAAGTACATAAATAAAAAGGTATAAAAAATACAAAAATTGAAACAAAACATGTAGGATCAAGTAGATTCCAGTCATATAAGTTAATTTAATAAAACATGCAGTTTAAATTTAAACAATGTCAGTTTGAACATATCACAGAAATTGCTTAAATGACTAGACTAGAATAATAGAATGACTAGAATAATACTAATAAAAGACTGGATGATCAACAGGTGATTCTAGTGAATGCATAATCATTAACTTATAATGACTTATATTGGAAATATTCTTCCACAGAATAAAAATGATGAAGATAAAGAAAACGCTTTAAACAAATTTTGAACTTCTTAGGGTTGAGTGACTCTTCTTTTATATAAGAAGGAAGATTATTATAAATTTTTATGCCCATATAATACACTCCCTTTTGATATACCGTAAAATTTGCTATGGGTTGATAGAAATTTGTAATATGTCTTGTATTTATATTATGATTTAGTGAATTTGGAATAAAGAGACTTTTATTATTAACCACAAAGAGCATGAGTGAAAAAATATACTGTGAAGCCAAAGGCAAAATTTCCAATTTCCGAAAGAGATCTCTACATGAAACTCTACTATTACAGCCGATCATAATTCTAATTATCTTCTTCTGCATTCTAAATACTTTTATACTATGAGGCGAGACTCCCCAAAAGCAAAGACCATAGTTCATAACAGAGCCAAAATAAGAGTAGTAAATTGTTTTCAAAGTTTTTAGAGGCAAGTATGGTTTAATACTTCTCATCATATAACATGCTGAGGTAAGTTTTGGGGTTATACATTCCACATGTGAACTCCAGTTGAGTGTATCCATTATGTTTATACCAAGACAGTCCTCAGTCGAGATAACAGTATAAACCGAGTACATGTTAAACGTGAATCATCAGGACTACTGCTGTATGGAAACTTGCTCAGTAATCCTCATACTCAAAAAGAAAATCAAAATATCTGGCAACAAGTGTAGATCTTTTGGGTCAGAATTACTTTTACATTTAGTAGTTTAGTTCTTGGGGTGAGGTGAGTCTGAGTCCACTTGGTACGTCAACCATTAATTTGCCTATAACAGTCCCAGATGATAGTTGATGATGAATGTGGAGCAGTCAAAAATGAGAATTGGCAGGGAAAAGGTAAGTATTCAGAGAAAACCTGCCCCAGTGTCACTCTGTCCACCACAAATCTGACATGCTTGAACCTGGGCAGCAGTGGTGGAAAGCCAGCAGTTAACTGTTGGGAACTGAGCTTGGGAACAGGCTTTAAATTTAATAAATATATTGTAGCGTGTTTTATGTGTCACGCTACAAATAAATTCACGTCGTTGTCCGATATAGCGAATTTATTTCTTTCACTCGCTTACACACACTTTACAGACATTTACACTTGCAGTGTTACAATCACTGCTCACAATATCTCGGCGACACTGGACTGTCTTCTAGGATGGCCCGATCACGACTGGCTTCTTAGCTGGCTCGATGAAGACTGAAGACTTCTCGTCGAAACTGGGCTTTTATAACCATGGCTGCTGTTAGGCAACGAACCCTTTGTTATAACCATGGAGACTCCTGTTAGAACTACAATGGAGCAATTGTTGTCTCCTCTGTAACGGTCTATTCTAGCGTTTCCATAGCAGTGACTCTTCTGGATTGCAAACACGTTACAATATATATATATATATATAATACGCGTATTATACACAACATACATGTGGATATTATTTACCTCACATTCGCACATGTTGCGTATTTCAAGAGAGATCAGTCCATGATTAACACTTGTGGACGTTCTTAAAATGAGTCACATAGAGATTACTGAATTTAACAGTTTTAACCCACAACGAAGGGCTGAAGAACACAATGTCCAGATGTTCCCACATTTAGTAACTGGTAACTATTTTACGCTGTGCCCCCGCCTAGTCAGCTTAATAGGTGTTTCTTGTTAACACAACTGACAGAAAGTTTGCCATAAGAAGCAATTAGGCATGTGCTGAGCCAAATACCACTGTAGTTGAATGGAAATTCCCCTTTATTGACAAGACTGTGAAGAGATGTTTGCACATTAAATTTAGTTTCAAATCTGCTGCAGACAAGTTTTAAGGCCTAATTACTTTTTAAGGTCAATTTGACATTGGTAGTAGCATCATTTTGTATTAATATTAAAAAACTATGGCATCAGCAGGTAACTTAGGCTGCAGATAGGCATTAAAAGACAGTTGCTACAACATTTTTGGCAGATTTGTCACTTGGATCATCATTAATCAAAGTGGTAGACAAACTGCATTGCTGTGGAACACCGTTACAGGTGAACAACCTTGAAGAAGGCATCAAGAAGTATGTACCATAGTCTATATTGTATCTTGCTCAAGTAAAATTTAATATTTATTGCAATATAAATCCATACAACAGGCACTCATGACACAAACAACAAATCATGGCATTGAAATAATTTCCTATCTATATTTTTATTACATGCATGAGGCTGGGATATGAAGCTTTGTTACAAGATAGAAAATCAAAATAACAAATGGCTGTTTCACTCCCATGGCTGCCATGAGATTCCTACACCAAGATTCAGTCATCACAGATTTAGTGTGGCCTGAAAATTGCTAAAGGATGTCATAATATACAGCCGATTTTACATTCTCACATCAGTAAGATGTACACTTCTCTTTGTTGGAAATGCAACAGAGAGAATAACTTCCAAGAAGGTGAGTAAATGCTGCTGTCTTCCAAGATGATTACTTCTGTCACTGCATCATTGAGCAGGTGTCTGCCATTCTGTGGCTTGGCTGCAAAATGTATCTTTCTTTTATAGTCCTTCATAGTTGCCTGTTTCATTTCCATGCTCATCAGAGTAATTGCCAATTTCTGGAGAATGTTTGATTTAGCAATTCTATCAGTAACTCAGACCGCTTAGACTATAAAGGGTTGGATGGTAGGGTGCTGAGGTGAATATCCATTAGAAAGAATGCACAGCAAGTGGCCACAGTTTAATTTAAGAGACTACGTTGGTATTTGCTTGGAATAACTCAGAAAAACTACAAAGTGACATGTTCCAGTGACATTTATTTTTTTTCCTTCTGGAAATGAACATTCATTACCAGGCCTGCACAAATTTCCCATAAATCTAAGAGCCAGAATAAGAAAAAACAAAATTATTTGGGTGAGAAACATGTTCATTTTTATTAACAAAAGGACAATTGAAATATCTACACACAAATAACAGCTAACTCCTCTCATAATGTGAGGAATGCCCAATATATGGCTACTAGAGTACGTACGTGGTGCAATCCAAAAGTTCCTGAAATCTGAATTTTGCGCACGAATGGTTATGAGTACATCAAAATACCGCTAGGTGTCTCCCCACACACTCTTCTTGAATCAGTGTGGCAAGCGGCAGCGAGTTGAGTGGTTTGGTTTATTGTTGGTTAACATGTTTCCATTGTTGTGTTTCCGTGAGTTTGCGGTTTTGCGATGGCTGACCTGAGAGAGCAGTGTGTCTGTATAAAGTTTTGTTTTAAACTTGGGAAAATCACTGCAGAAACACACCAAATGTTGAAGCAAGCTTTTGGTGACAACGGTTTAGGCCAGACACAAACTTACGACTGGTGTAAGTGTTTCAAAAATGGCAGAACATCGACTGATGATGACGAGGAACAGCCGTCAACTGGCACCACACCAGAAAATGTCACGAAAGTTAGGGATCTGATTCTGCAAGATCGTAGACTGACCATTCAAGACTTCTGTAATGCCTTGAGACTAAGATATGGTACATGTCAACAAATTTTGACAGAGGAACTGAACATGAGGATTGCGGCGAAGTCCGTGCCATGACTGCTGCAAAATGAACAGAAGCAGCATCGCTTGGAAGTCTGCAGGGAACTTCAACAACAGCTTCAAGAGGATCCAAACTTTCTTTCAAAGGTTGTCGTCACTGGTAACGAAAGTTGGGTTTATGGCTACGACCCTGAAAGTAAGCAGCAATCGTCAAAATGGAAGAGCCCTTCTTCACCTCGGCCCAAAAAAGCTCAAAAAATCAAGAGCAACATTCAAGCCCATGTAGATCTGTTTTTTTTTTATATTGACGGAACTGTTCATAAGGAGTTTGTCCCTCCTGGTCAGACAATCAATAAAGAGTTCTATCGCAATGTTCTAAGGCGTTTGAGGGAGGACATGAGAAGAAAACGTCCAGAGAAGTGACGCATTAAAGACTGGGTACTCCACCATGACAACGCATGACCGCATACAGTTTACATTGTGCAGGAATTTTTGGCTAAAAACAAGATGGCAGTTGTTCCCCACCCACCATACTCGCCAGACTTAGCTCCATGCGCTCCCAAGGGGACTACTTTGAAGGTGATGATGCAGAATAAGATCCAGGTAAGACGTAATAGTTCTTACTAATATATTTCAGGAACTTTTGGATTGCACCACGTACATGTACAGAACATAAACTAACTTCCAACATTGCCAAGATATAGGGAGAGGAAGGGCAATAAGATGGACAAATAAAATGGATGGGAAAGGAGGAAAGAAGATAAAGGTACAATAGAGGTAGAGAAATTGAAAAATGGATGTGGGTTAATAAGAAAAAGTGGCAGGATGGAAAGGTGAGAATAATGAGAATGGGACAAAGGAATCATAAAGAGTAAGGGAAAGATAAGGGTCAGAGGGAAGGAAGCAACATTAGCAGCAATATGACAGGATGAAAATTCTGAGCACCATTATGAAACATTCAGGCACAGTGATGACTTGGCACGCAGAATTTGCACAGGACCTTACATTATAATTTCCAGTTCGAGATCTTCAGGTTTCCTCTATCAATTTTCTTCTTTTGCCCTGAAAGTAAGGAAGAAACTGGCCATTCAAAAGCCAAGTCAGTACATTAAAGGTTAATATTATAAAAAAAGAATGTAATTATTTTCTTAGAGGTTCAAGCCCAGAACAACAGTTACTGAGACAAGAGAAAATATATACGGCATAATTTTACTCAACGTCAACAAAGTATGTTTCAAAGAAAACCCAGAGAAAGACAATATCATCTAAACTGGAAAATCCACTAAAACCAACAATTACTAAAGGTCTCTACAGTGCTAGGGGCTGGTACTATAGACCAGAAGTGGCCGCAGTACAAGGGACTTATTCCCACCCCACTAGCAATAAAAAAAAAGGTAAGCCATTCATTGATATGCTAAACATTGTTTACAAAACATAAAAACCAACACATTTTACAGTTTCATCTAAAAACACATTTCCACATTTGAAGGCATCCACTTATATTCATTCCAATAACACATTTTTTTTTTAATTTCCAGGAGTATTTTGATCACTTAATAATTAAACTTCATCAGTAAAATATATATTCTGTACCTGTCATTTCGGTGAAAATGGAACATAAATTCTACCTCCAGTTCTGTTCACTTTATCCCAACATGTGCAGGTGAATGTCGAACGGACCATGATGTCAGTATAGAGACGACCAGAGAGGTGATCCATCTCGTGCTGAACTATACGAGCTGCCCAACCAGAAACTTGCCATGAAACCGGTTTCCCTTCAGCACTCAGGCCTGGAAACAGAAAGTATTAAGCTGTATTCAGTATTCAGTATTGAGGGGGTGGGTTTCCCCATGCACTTAGACCAGTTATTGGTCCATTGTGCATTCCCCTTTAATTTCTACTGTCTCCATACCCTACCGGTACTGGTGCTCGCTATCAGCCCTGTTCTGCCAGCAAGGTTCTGATCCTCTACTGGCAGTGGTATCTAATAGTTAGTCCCTTTCTGTCAGAGAGGTCGCCCCTACTCTGGCAATGGTACCTAATACTTCCCCATCTACCGGAGTCATTGGAAACTACTTTGGGCGGGGAACTTTTTTTGGCCAAATTTAGCTCAGAGGTCTCCTAGAGACATGAGGTTCTTTTACGTGTCGTAAATCTACGACACGGGACCCACGGCTTAAAGTCCCTCCCGGAGAACTTGTTCCCTGAATTTTTCCACCCTTAAAAATTCCACGACCTCCGCTGGGTTTGAAACCACGTACCTTGAGTCATGAGGTGGGAACGTTATCCCTAGACTACGGAGGCCGCTAAGTATTAAGCTGTAAATTACACCCTTCTCAGTGGTTCCTCCATTCACATGCAGTATTTGGCATATGAATGAAACAAATGCCTGATGGACATACCATACTGTCGCATATCAGGGGTTCCGTGACTAATAATAATGGGTTCTGGATTGGATGTTTGAATTAAGTGGCACTTCTATTACAACTGTCAATTGACAGCTCACAATCAATGACTGTCTGAGACTCACTCCATTCCTTACTAGACTACAAGTGTCTTCTTCTCTTTCACTGTGACAAATGATGAATGAAGAACCCCTTACAGCTCAATCACTGAACTCCTTTAAGAATGAATTACAACTAACATGTTCTTCTCTGCATGGCTCCTTACAAAGGCTAGTGCATATCCATGGAAAATGTTGGTTGTCATAGAAACATGCTTAGCAAACTGTTGGCAGCATGGACTTCTGCTCTAGCTCCGCTATTCTGGCTTTCAAACACCACACGCGGCTAGAGGGAACAACGGACAAGCTAGGGACAAAATTACAGATTGCAGATTGCAGATGTAACACAACGGGCTTACAAACAGAAAAACAGGCTGCCGCAGTGAAACATCTTCAGAAAAGAATACAGATCAAAACAAGTGGACAACACCCCTTGTGAGGTGTAATAAGAATTTTACAATTTTAAAGAAAATTTCAATAGATTTTATTCAATTTAAATTAAATGAACTATGGAATGCCCTATTTTAGCGCATACCAATTAACTATGACTATGACATTTCAAAGTATGAAGTGTTCAGTCACATATGTGACAAATGGACAATATTAGTGCAGTGTAGTGGTTTTAGCATAGTAAGACACTCAAAGATGGCCATTTAGAGCCAAAACATGTTGCGTCGAAAGTGAAACTGTAAGAAAGAAGGAACAATCTGTTTCATTGTTGATGGACTGTGTAGTACATAAACAGTTGAATCCCATGTCTCAGTGGCTTTTCCATCTTCACTAATGTAATGGGTATACTGCCATTCCTTTATTTTGTAAATAAAGATGCACATTTATAGGCAAGGTTGTCATCTAGGTATGTAGGCTTCAGCAAACATATCTTAGCCTTTCCATGACATCAAGTGAGAAATTTGTTATTAACCAGTATCCAGAGGTGTCTCATGAATAAAATGCATAGACAATTCATAAAATCTTCAGTACCCTTTACCTGTGACTAGGACCTCCCGGTAACGTGGAACATCTGCTGAAAAGCCCCTCACACTCTCACAGGCCTCCGGAAAACATACTTTTTCATAGTTTGTAATTTTTAGTTCAGGGTTTATAAAAACCTGTGAAATAAATTGTAAAAATGAACATCACAAGGGCCTGGATAGTGGTATTTATCAGTTTAGAATGTGGTACTTCTCTCCTGCTTCAATAATATGAACATGCTGCTATGTTAGAGGCTCATGCCCATTACAGATAACACTGAAAATCATTTTTACTGGGTTTAGAATCTACATGCTCTGCATGTGTTATCTGTTCTTCAGTAATCCCGCTCCCTCTCTACAAGATACCTACTGTGATACACAAAAAAAGACAATGGTTAAAGTGTAGACAATGATTTGGGTTACTGTTACACAATATCAGAGTGATACTTCAACCCATAATCTTCCTTCCTGGTTACCTTTGGTTTGATTGGCTTAGATCACGAGGAACCAAGCACACTTGCAACTTATCCATCTGTCTCATCATATGCAGTACAAATAATCATTTTACTGGAGGAAATGTGAGCCTATTTATTACTGTGAAGTAAAGCTTGCACAATTTTGTCTAATTCTAATTAATATCCTTGTGATAAACGCTGAAACTGTCCCTCCCCATTAATGGACCACTGGAAGAATCTAAATATTACTGTGGTGAAAACTGAGCAGACTGCAAGAGGTGGACTCACCTTGAATGGAATTATGGCCATTTCACGTGACTTTCGGATTTCTGGGCTGAATTCTTCATATATCTTCTCTGAAAATTCAACGATAAATATACTGAGTGGAACTCCAACTTGTGGTGCAGCCAAACCAAATGATCCATAGCTATGCATTACACTTCGCATCTTCTTCAAAAGCTAAAGAACAGAGACTACTGATCCAAGTCCACTGCACAATGGACCCAGACCAGCCTAGCATAGGAAAAACAAAAACACAAATAACGATACTTACAGAATTTTTAAAAAGTCAGGAGCTAAACTCCTACTCTTTCAAGAGTTTTTAAATTCAAAATACTGTACATGCCTTACTTATCAGAGTCTGACATAGTATGCATTCTGAACAAAACTGTGGCCTCAGGAGTTATATTAAATAAGTCACTAAAAATTATGTTTGAATATGGAACTAAAATAATTTATAAATAAATACAACTCATTATCTCATATTACAAAGAGCAAAATATTTATGCAGTGAATAATAAATCACCTCTCTCTTCTGCACCCTTAATTTCCCCAGCTTGTACAGCACTATTACCTCCAGTAGAAACTGGTAACCCAACTGAACCACCGATCATGGACATTGCTTAAATCAAAATTACCCACAATACTGGAACTGTTTAAACCTCCCCCGCCCTCATGCACACACACACACACACCAGTCTAAGGCCAGTGATTCTCAAGTGCAATCCTCATTGTCACATACAGCTACAAACTTTGCCTCATGTTCAACAGTAACAATTACCTTCATAGGATTTTACAGTTAAAAAGTTACATGCATGAAGTTATGTGGCCACAGAACACATTCCTAACTTCTAAATCAGGTTGAGGGTGCTTGAGAACTGCTGACCTAGCCAGTCTAGCACAGAACAATGTCTTCATAGGGGAGAGAATGTAAATGCTGTATCTGTCCAATACACAGTGTGCTGCTTAAATATGAATTACTGAACGGTGTGCTGAGTCACACTACACTAAGCTAGGGTGGGTCCAATGTGCAGCAGCCATCAACCCTTAGGAACTCTGAATACAATTAAATTCTGAAATTTGAATCTCCATCAATATGCAGGGCAAAACAAAATTAGCACCAAAGCTCCCCACAGTGTGATTCCTTGGTAAAAAGCAAGTCAAAAATATTGCATAAACACATGTCTTGCAACATTTAATTTTCAAGATGCATGTCACAATCAAATGGCAGAAGCTATCAAACAATCAAACCACGGGTGTCTCACAGTTGATAAACATATTTCTTCAGCATATCCACTGGAGTTAAATCTGGTGACCAAGGAGGTCATGCAATTGACCCCCAACTTCCAATCCACCTTCCTGGATATATCTCACTCAACCACTGCTAGATATCATTCCTAGGTGCGCTATAGCTCCATCAAACAAGAAACCAAAACCTGTACCTCACAGCTAAAGAACCACATCTTCAAACAGCCCTGGCAAAACACTTTCCAGAAAATCATGACATTGTTAAACAGTGAGCATGTCAGGTGACAGAGACCCATGACAATGTCCCCGACAATTCGTGCCTTGACTCTAATGCTGAAGCGGCCAGACTGCACACCCATATTCAGAGACAGCTTGTGGATAACTCCAACTGTCAAAATGCAGTAGTCCCTGGATAACATTGCACACATTGTACACATACGAATGCAGCGGTAAAGCTCAACTATTACAAGTACCGAGGGATAGTAGCATGCCGCAGTGACGTGTATTGCATTAAGTCCATATAATTCTATCACAACCGGCACCTGTTGTGCACTACGTGTCTCCAGTACACCAAACAATGTGCCATGGATCATCGTGACAACACTTCTGAGAGGTACGAGTACATCACCCGTTCAACGGTGACGTGCATCTCGAAAATTACGAGCAAAGGACACATATTACACATTTTCCACTTGTCATTTTTGACAATGAATAGCACTATGAAGAGCTTGTGGGCGAATTTCGTTTCACCTGTAACATCTCTATAACCAAAGCTAACAGTCAATGCACTAATTCTCTTCCGTACTCCCTGTATTTCATTTTTCTTTATATCCTCTGCGTTTAACTCTTCTGCCTTGTACCGAAGAACTGGATCACCGATTTGGCAAATATGATTGTACGGTGGACGTGACGGCGATGGAAACCAAAATTCAGTATACAATTGACGAAATTTTCGAAATGTAATTAAATGTCTTTTAATAAATATTAATGTATAAACCAACGCTGATTTCGAGCGGTATACGTTTAAAATTGTCATTTTTCATAAAATTAGTCAATTAGTCCTGGAAACGTGAATACCACGAGGTCCACATTACATACAGCTAGTCACAGTCAAATAATGTAAACATATGAATCCAATGTAAGTGGCTGGCAACGTAGTCGACGTACCGTCAGAAATGCAACATCCTGCCATCTGTTTTTCTCGTTCAGGATAATGCTGAAACGTGGGTTCACTCACTGCCGAGAGCTCAGTCGGTAAGAACGTTTACTACCGTACTACCTTGGGTTTCTGCTCCGCGGTGCAAGAATATCCGTTTCTCTCTCTCTCTCTCTCTCTCGTGAGCGTGTCTTCGGTATATCGACTGGCTACGGGCTGGACGTTATGAAAGGACGGAGCTCGAGTCCCGGTATGGTCAAGAATTTCCTCTTGTCCACGTCCAGACTAGTTCTGGGGCCCATCCAGACTCTTTTCCGGTGGATACCGGGGCTCTTTCCCCGTGGATAATGACACCGGGGCGTGAAGCTCTGGCCACTCATCTCTAACTAATGCCGAGACTAAGAATGCGTGAATCTATACGTCCATTCTCTCATATGTCTTCATGACGTAGTGCTTAATCAGTTAAGTACAGGGACAACTTTACTAGCCTGCGCGTACTCTGCCGCCCAAGTCCCGAAATTACAAAATTTTGCCCACCCTCATCTCCTGTACTGCAGAGGTTCTCACTCCGTTTTTATAAATGATTTGACTAATATCACTTGACTCATATCTATCGGAGAAATTTTCTCATCAGTGCCTGTAAAGTACGAAAACTTCATATACATAAATCCAACATCCCCTTACTGAATTGCACTGGATTCTTGTGAGTTACATCATACACGCAAAACTTATATTCATAAGTGTTCTGGAGAGCTGACGCTTAATATTGTACTGCAGCATCTTGTTGCACTGCGTATTCCAGTTATAGTACTCTCACTCTGCCCTCTCTGCACAACAACATCTCTATATTAAAATTCACACAGCATGTAGGAAAGAAACCAACACACCAAAAAATATATACCAAACATGTGAGCACAACAGAAGCCACCACAACACGATAACCTAAAAAATAACCTAAAATAATTTGTAAACATTATACACCACTTGCAAAATGCAAAATATTGTCATGTAACACCCGAGCAGCAATTTCTATCTACAGTCCCATGCATCTTATGATAGCCAGTTACACCAAAACATTTAGTGGTAAATAAATAACAGGAAGAGACCAAGAGCCTTAAAAGTGTAAATTTTAATATATGGACGAAGTTCTACAGAGCCGATGTAATGAGATTTGTAATATTTGGCAAACTTTAATGAACTTGAATGTCCGTCTGCTTAACTAATTAAGCACTACGCCATGAAGGCGTAAGTGGGAGTGGATGCATAGATCCACATTTTCTTGACCTGAGCACTAACTGGAGGCGAGTGGTCAGCTTGATCCACCGGCAGATTTACCCCCGGGGAGAGAGTTCCGTTGAATAGGAGATTGGGTGGACCCCAGAGCCGGTCTGGACAGCGTGGTGAAAGAGAAAGTTCTTGACACTACCGGGAATCGAAATCCGACTCCTCTGTCTTCCAACCGGTAGCCAGTCGCTAGACCGACTATGCTATCCCGGCTCCCACCCCTCGCAAAGCAGGTTCTCTCAACGTTGGCTACGTAAAGTGCTATCTTCTAGGTTGAAGAATAAGCACATCAGAGCTGCGCTTGCCACTTGCTTTCACGTTGGTATCTTGCTCGGCTTATTCTGAAACCCTGAATATGGAGGCGAGACATCTGTTTACTTTCAACTGACTACATGGCGTTATATCCCAGAATATGGCATTCTTCCGGCTTTGGATTTATCTCGCCAAACAACAATGCGGCTGATATGTAAGAGTCATCGCCAGAGTGCCAGTATCTAACTCATAAATGGCTCACCAATAACCCAATTATTTCAAGTTGAATAAGAAGTGGCATGTATATTAACAGGTTTTCCATAAAATATAATATACAGGATAACGAAAGAAATTTGAAATTGATTGCTAACATATCTTTGATCAGTAAAACAGATTTAGTCAAAAACAGCTTATTTTGTAATGATACACAAAATTAAAATATTTGTTGTCATGTTATTTATTGATGTGCAACAATAAAGACTGGAATATACGTTCACATTATAAGAAAACTCTCATTTATTTTTGTGATCATTGTTATTCAGAAATAAAGCCACGTGAAAATGAAATGCAGGCTGTAACATTTAACAATATGAAAATAGCAACAGAGCTTTCGTATGGAGTTAGAGACAGGAATAACAACAAACTAAGTTTCTTCTTGTAAGATTTGAGGCTTTCACGGCGGTGACTATGAAGAAAGCAGTCTTCTGGGATTTGGCACCGTGTATATGTGGTGTTAACCGACGTTTCGGAGGAACGTATCGCCTCCATCTTCAGAGTAGAAGGAAAAATATAAGAAATCCGCAAGCGAAGAGACCGTGAATCTGCTTTTACCGGTTCTCAAGGTCTCTTCGCTTACGGATTTCTTATATTTTTCCTTCTACCCTGAAGATGGAGGCGATACGTTCCTCCGAAACGTCGGTTAACACCACATATACACGGTGCCAAATCCCAGAAGACTGCTTTCTTCAAGTTTCTTCTTCTTCCCATTCCCTTTACAGTTTATATTGCGTGTCTTTCAAGAACTGCCCTGCTTTGAAAACAGTCTTTCAAGGCGGATCAGTAGAATTTGCCTCTTCGCTTGATTTACCAAGTACCCTAAAATTTCTGTAGACTCCAGTTCTGTTCCTACTGCTTTAGTAGGGGCAACGAGTTACGCTTAGAAATGTCATAGAGTAGTTTCTTTTGCAGGATTGTCCTTCAGTGTTGTACACTGACTGATCAGATTATCATGGTTATGGTCCCCTCGGGTGTGCGTGCTCCACATTTTAGAAGTCCGTAGTCTTCATCTGACAGTCGATGCTTCCACGACGATGGCCTTTAAGAGTACTGTGTTGTGGGAAGTGACACCGTGCAGTCTGAACGAAATTCATTGACGTTTCAGAGGAGAGTCAGTAAACTTTTGCAAGACTACATGGCGTGAGCCCCATGGTCACAGCCACGCAAACCTCGATTCTCATATGGCCGAATTACCATTTCACAAATTTTATTCGAGTATGTGCGTGACTTGAGGTGGGAGACATTCATGTAATCGGTAACTTCAAGTTTAATTATGAAACAAGACTGCGAACATTTGTGTGCAATGAAACAATGCATAGAAGACAGTCACATTTTGCTTTGTAATGTTTTGATAAGGCAACTTTAAGGGAACCTAAGAAAGTTTTACGGAAAAAATATACCTGGCACCTTTTTTCTTATGACTTTTCTTTGAAAAGACCCAACCGCCAATTAACGCAAACCCACGTATATTTTTCCCAATTGTAAGCAGCATCTGCAATTGATTCAGCACAGTTAAAGAACCTATTATCCAAGCAACGACAGGGGAAGCGAATACATGCGCCGAGTGGGTACAACATTTCTTAGGCGCTTTAACGCCACCTGTCCGATAACAAAAGCACTGCATTTATAATAGCGACCTACCATTCCCTGAACTCGAATCCCAGGACCGAGCCCAAGGAAGCGCTTTATCAGTCCCCACAGCATCACACCCGGACTCTGGAGGTGGGAGAAATCGGGTCCCGCGAACTTAAAACTCATCCAAATGGTCAAGACGTTACGTAACTTGCTTGGCAAGACGACCCACATACTCGCACGCTTTCTTCGCTCGCATTTCACGTTTAGCTTGGTTCGTATTTGGACTTATGGACACTCTCTGACGTCGTCACAGGTGAGTACTTGTTTAACGACGTTTTTACTAAGGAAGCAAGTGTGTGGCTCTTACTTCAGACAGTGACTCCGGCTGTATTTAACACATTGTGTTCTTCAGTTAGACCTTTAGGTGAAGGTAATACATTCACGTAGACCATGGCCGCGTGTTATTCAGCTGTCCGTAACTAACTCCTAGGCTCAGAGGGCTCTTTGAGAGGATAAGACTCGCTTAGCTGGAGCCAGAGATCTAGCTGAGCAGAATGAATCCAGTCTCCATCACCACACCCTTTTCCTGTAAGATCCACTTTAATGTTACTTTTCCATCTACGACCAGGTTGTCCATGCAGTCTCTTCCCTTCTTGTAGGGTTTGAGGTTTTCACGGCGGTGGCTATGAAGAAAGCAGTCTTCTGGGATGTGGGACCTTGCAGATATTGTGTTAACCGACGTTTCGGAGACACGTACCGCCTCCATCTTCAGGGTAGAAGAAAAAAGAAGAAAGTCCGCGAGCGAGGAACCAGCGTGAGCAGGTGCTAACAGACTAGTCGTTCTTCCGCAACGTCGGTTAAAACAATATTTACACGGCGCCACATCCCAGAAGACTGCTCTCTTCCCTTCACGTTTTCCGACCAAAATTGTGTATTCATTTCTACATCTCTCACACCTGCTACATGCCTCATTGATTTTAAACTTTAACAATGTCTGGTGGAGGATATAAAATACGGAGTTCCTCATTGTGAAGTTATCCCTTCCTCTCCCGTAGGTCCAGACATTACGCTCAATAATCTTTTTCTAACAATCTGCGTTCTTCTCTTGCCTACTTATCAATAAAATTCGTCGGTTTACCAGTAAATTGCAAATATTTAAAAGAAGGCGCTAAGAAAAATATACAGAACTAAGAATACATGGAATATAAAGTAACGTACGTGACCTGAACAATGTTTTACAGTTTCCCTAGGATGGTCAGGGTAGCTAAAGCTGAGGCGTAATGCACGAAACGGGCTGTACACTAAGTATGCTATAACCGATTGGCTATTTGTCTGTTGGTTAACGTTATAGTTATTTTGTTGAATTTGTAGATGGGGTGTGTTCAGTGCCGCACACTCATATAAAACAGTTAGCATTTGCAACTTCGGCAAAGTAACTACAATGTTAACAAATAGATGAAAAGTCAACTCATCGTAGCATATAGTATATAGAGTATGTAGCGCCAGTGGATCAACTCGGCTTACATGAAAATTTAAGCTAAGTACATGATAGAATAATTGTAACTGAAAAGCGGGTTTTAAAGTGGCATACATGTGCCGATCACGTCATCATAGACAGACCCTCCATCTTCTGGAAATAGTGTTGTGTTAACAAGAATATAATAAATATTGTCTACATTAACGTAGCTAACACCGAACGTATCAACAGCTTTTGAAAGCTAATATCACACTGTTAGCTTCCGACTGTTCTTTCGCGAGTCCCTTTACATATTAGCCGCCGATAATTGTAGAAATATATTGAAGTCGGAACAGGGTAGATTTTTAGGAAATTTTCGCTTTCTTTTAATATGGAAACTTGACCCATAAAGTCCAATTACTCACGAAGTAAATGAATAATTAAAATAATTCAAACAATGTTACAGTTTGGTGATGGCAGGTCCGTTAATGGAGGGGTTTTACGGGTTCAGATTACCCCCCCCCCATCAAATGCCGAGAGTAACATCGAAATTATATTCTGTTCTCTCAACAAAAATTGATTATATAATATATAATTGGATATATCAGTAGCACGTAGTTGCTTTGTGGATGCATGCAAAAGAAATTCAGATATGTTTTTTTTTAAATAAAAGTGTCATCCTATAGGATCAAAATGAAATATTAGATACGCCCCTCACTGGTTTTATTATTTTTGCCGTTACTTAACAAATGCTTTTACAGCTACAGATCTTACATAATATGGAATGAGATGGGGTGTGTCTTGATCCATCAACTAATGCCTCAGTAGTGTCAAATAAGTTATTAATCTTATTTGTAATGTTTGCATCCCGCTGCGTGGGTATAACTAATAATACAAATTCCGCCGTCGGCGTAACTATAATTTATTTATTTACGTTCCACTACATGTTTCGACCATTATAGGGTCATCCTCAGGTGTTGTAATTTACACATTTTCATTATTGAATTGTAAAGCGCGTAAATATATTTGCATACATAGACTTAAAATCACTACTTTCTACGTACTTTTATATTCTAGCATCTACATGTTAATTTAAATGCAAGATATATATGGAATTAAAAGTTGATTTTAAATTAATTTAAAAGTGCGGTATGCTATATGCAGCTACGTGTCTGATGCTGTAGCAGACGACGCATCTATCAATCTTAGTTACCTCGTTAGCTTAGCTATATTCTGAATTGCCATGAGCATTCTGAAAATTCCGTTCTCAATTCTGCCTCTTCTCTGAACGCTACATAACTGCTAATTAGCTTCCCTGCAAAAGTGTTATTTGTAACGTTTCTGTGATAATGATGAGATATGGATCGTCGTCGTTATGCCCAATGCCATGGAAGGAACTGCACGAGCAAAGGAGTACCTTGCCCGATTGCGAGCTGATATATATAATTAATGAGTAACCATCTGTCTGTTTGTCTGTCTGTCCATCGCGCACCCTTTAATAATGATAGGGAATTAGTGTAAATGTATAAGTTCTTTGATTAACGAAGGAAGACACTGGTAGGTTGTTAATTTTGCTGTTACATGCGTGGGTTCGAGCCAAAGCCAATTTCTTTCTCCATTCTCTCCCTCATAAGAGAGGCACTGGGACCGTGACAAGGAATAGCCTTCCGACATCTTCATAGTAACCATTGTAATGTTACGTGATCAAAAGAATGAGGTGTGTGAATCCAAGAACCCATAGGAGTAAGTAACCACTACTCTAAACAAAAGTTGTTCTTCAAACTGGCGTACAGATTCATCTCCGGGGTCATATTAAAGGGATAATAAATTAACTTAGAGACCAAATATTTGTCCATCATCCAATACGAGAATTAAATTTCACATAAATTATTTTAAGAACATTTCCATACAGCCTAATCGATTACTTTCAGTCTAATTTGCGTGTTACTTCACGCGCTTCATGTTATAGTGAAGTCTTCGTTACATAAATTTTACTTCTCTTCAAGATTAGTAACGGATATGTTACGTGACAAGTTGCTCCTAAAGCTCCACACATTCTTCGTGACGTCATTCGGTGGTGAGTGGTCAGATTCACGCTTTGACTGTTTGAACCCGATATTTCGTTTGCGGTAAGCGTTCAATAGAAGGTTGACTGCTGAATGAATAATTGGAAATTATTTGGATGAAGGCTTTCGTGACATAATCGAGATACTATTCAGGAATTTTCCTGGAGCGAATTAGAAAGCCCGCATAAATCTGAGTTAGGACAGCCTGTGCCCTAGCCGAGATTCGAACCCAGCACCTTTCAAACACAAGTCTATAAAATTGCCGTTACTCCAGCCTACCCGATGTCCCTGGCCTGTGGTGAGCCCTGGTGACCAAGAGGAAAATCAATTGGCTCCTTTCATGTCACTTGATATGTAGACATTTAGTTTCTGCTTTCCCGTACTCAATAACAATGGAGAATTTTACTCCAGTTTTCAGTACTAAAAGTTTCCAAATGCATTCTTCGCCATTTTGTATCCAGCATTTCTCGTTATTTAATTAACAACTATTCAGGCCTTGTGTCTGAAATGAGAGAAGTAAGAAAATAATTAAAAAAAACGTAAGACAGCTAGAAAAAGAGAAATTCGCATAGCATGTAATATAAATGAATAAAAAATTCAATGCCATAAACTTTCAGGAGCGTGTCTGTGTTCGCGTGCGTAGGATTTGGTGTTCATTTAATGCACACACATATCTTTCGTTGTAAAAATATATAAGCAACAGATACTACATTGTTTTACCTAAATGTTTCATATTGTATATGAAAAGAAGGGACTTATAGTATGTTGACCATCAGCCATCCCGCTTCCCTAGTAAATCTTGAACCAACGGATAGATTTTCATTATACGTGGCGTGAACTTCATCCCACTAGAAGCCGACCCATCTACGTATTTATTAATTGTCTAATTACATTATTAATGGCGATACAGCGAACTGCTGGAATTCGCACAACGTTCTGTTCATTAGACAGCAGTGGTTCTTTAGCAGGGAATAAAGCTGCCTAAGTGGGAGGCTGCATCATATAACGATAGGAAACAGATGTTTCGAATATGTGACACAGTTCAGATACTTGGGAGCGACGATAACAAATCAAAACCTGATTGAGGAGGAAATTAAGAGGAGGTTGAACTCGGATAATGCTTGTTACCATTCAGTCCAGAACCTTTTGTCCTCTCGTCTGCTGTCCAAAAACATAAAAATTTGAATACACAAAACTATAATTTTGCCTGTGGTTCTGTAGGGGTGTGAAACTTGGTCTCTGACATTAAGGGATGAACATAGACTGAGGGTGTTTGAGAACAGGGTGTTGAGGAGAATATTTGGACCAAAGAGAGATGAAGTGACAGGAGGTTGGAGAAAACTGCATAATGAGGAGCTTCATAACTTGTACTCTTCTCCAAGTGTAATTAGAATGTTCAAGTCAAGGAGGATGAGGTGGGCAGGACATGTAGCACGAAAGGGGGAGAAGAGAAATGCATATAGGATATTGGTGGGAAGGCCAGAAGGAAAGACACCACTGGGAAGATCAAGGCGTGGGTGGGTGGACAATATTAAAATGGATATTAGATAAATAGGATGAGATTATATGGATTGGATTGATCTTGCCCAGGATAGGGACCAGTGGAGGGCTCTTGTGAACACGGTAATGAACCTTTGGGTTCCATAAAATGCTGGGAAATTCTTTAGTAGCTGCAAATTTGGCTTCTTCTCAAGAAGGGTTCAGCTCCATAAATAAGTAAGTAAGTAAATAAGTAGGAGGCTGATCGCTCACTTCCATCCAAAATCGAGGCCTGGGGGGGGGTATGTTTTT